TGCAACAGAGTCATTCACTTCACCTTCCTCAGCCACAGCTGTGCTACCTGCCGTGATAGGTTTGAGAGACACAGGAGAATATAAAAGCAGCAGGGCTTTAAAGCAAGTTACAGCATGAAAGGAAACTATACAGATCAAGAAACAAAGGGACAGACAGCCAGTGATGAAAGTAAAACAGCGCTCAGCTAACTATTGGCAATTCTTTTTCTTCCTATTTGCTATTTTAAATAAGGGCCAAATAAGTTAAACATGCAGGCACACATATACATGCTAATTCTTACTATGGCCTTATTGATTACCCCCGGTTTGTGAAAAGGCTGAGACTTGGCTAATATTATTATAGATGTGTTTATTAAGTGCTTCTTATGTTCTCAACTCTATTTTAAAATTTTGCATGCAACACACATCCAGACAAGAGGTAGGTACTATTGTTTTCGACATTTCACAGCTGAGAAAACTGAAGCTTAGACATGTTAAGTGAGAAATTTCAGTAAGAAATAAAGTATACCAGGATCACTCGACCTCCAAAGTCAAGACTGTTTCCATTGCTCTGTGAAGTATCTCTTTGGCAATGGATACCCTGTCCATCCGTACAGCCCTTACTTTCTAAGTTCCTGACACATACCTGTTTCTGAACTAGGCTCAGAGGACTCAGTTATAGCCCTCGCCCCTAAGATACCTACAGTTTATTTAGGGATATTGAAAGGTATTGAATAAGTGAGTGGATAAATGGATACATCAAATCCACTTTACATTTACATCTATTGTCTCCTAGCCCGGATACACTGGCCTCTCTAGTCTTCTCTGCATTCTGGAATTTACGTTTCTAAGCCCATCTCCAAATTTTTAAGCCATTTTTGTTTCCATATATAAAATATCTTGGACTCCTAATTTTCCACCATCTGAACCAGGGGTCCTCAAACTGTTTAAACAGGGGGCCAGTTCACTGTCCCTCAGACCGCTGGAGGGCCGGACTGGGGCCCCAGGACGAGTCAGCTGCTAAGCAGGACAGGCAGCAGCGGCAAAAACACCTGGAGGGCTGGATAAGTGTCCTCGGTGGACTGCATGTGGCCCACGGGCTATAATTTGAGGATGCCTGAATTCTGAACATTTGTCAAACATGCTCAATGTTCCGTCATTGTCTCATAGCAATGGATACACAAGAAGAATCACCAAACTCAGTAAATGATTTTGCTGATGATTTATTACTTTAAGGAAAAAACCTGTAAACAGAGAGTTTAAGCCGTGAAAGCCCTTCACATTGAGCAAACATGCTCCATGCTACACAAATCGTGAGAAAAACGCGGACTTGTAGACCGTGACAGATTGCCCAAGTGCTATTTTTCCTCTCCTGGGTAGCTCTAAGACTTTCTTTGTATATATTTTTAAAATCACAAAAATAGCAGTAAGAACACTTAAATATTAAGTCACAGTTTGAAAACAGGTCTATACACATATATACAAACACACATGTACTGTACGTGGAGAGCTATACAGTTGACCATCATGACCATTTATAATCCCCAGCCATGCAGGGTTGTCACTGGGGCTACTCAGCATCAAGATAAGCCTGTAAAAAGCAGTGACATCATTCAACATAATAGTCACAGGCTGGTTCATTTCCTTACAATCCCTCTGTATGCACCGTATACGGCGCTAGCGAGACTACACACAATCATATCATTTGAATCTACTTTCTTTGATCACTCTGAATCCTCTGGTTCAAAGTTAAAATTGCAGCTATTTTCAGTAAAGCACCTCTTGTCAAGATCATACCTTTGGATTTAGGGACAAGATAACTAGGCTTAGTGTCAGGAGAGATGGCTCAGGCAGCAGCCTATCCTGCTCCGTGATCCTGGTCTGCTCTTTGTTAGATAGTATGATCTCGAGAAAATGATTAGACCTCTGGGAGATTCAGCTGCCTCTACGTGACGATAACACTGCATCTCGTAGGTTTACTATGTGGACAAAATGAGATATAGCAGTAAAGCATAAGACCTGGCATGTGCTCCAAGCTCCCCAAGTGCTTGGAGAAAGGTTTAGCAAGGATTACTATGTTGAGTTCAGGCCTCCCTTCCTCTCCCACAACTGTGCACATCCGAGGAATACACTCTAATGTAAATGTCTTCAGCAAAGGCGAACTAACCCTTAGTGGGCCTTTCCCTCATCTCAGAACACACAGTTACAACGGACGAGACAGGACACCTTTTCGTTCTATCGGAATCCCCTGCCAATGGTATTCTCCATAGGAGTCATTGGGGTTCTGCCCAGAGGCATCCCCAAGAGTAAGGGAGAACAGACGAAGTCGGCAATTGGGCTCTAAACGTTTTTTATTTTGGCTGACTTCTCAGACTGGTTGAGTCTCAGAGTTCCTATTTATAAAATGGGGAAGAGATACATCCTCAAAATGGCTTTGGTAATTAATAAGATAATGAAAAACTTAGGGTAGTGCTTGGCACCAAGTAAACACTCAATAAATGGAACTTTTCCCATTATGATTAGTCTTAAATTTTGCTGAATCAGGCTACCCCATTTCAGGAAAATGATGACAGCTAGAAAGGGCTTCCCTACATTGGGCCAAATCTCCTTCCTCATGATTTCAACTGACCTCAACCTGTGGGTCTGACACTTGCCCTCTGGGCCCTGCATGAGACAGGTCCATTTCTCAAACCCACTAGTAACTTGGCCATTCTGACCATTCTGTTGCTCCCATTCTCAGGCTAATCCCCAGTTCCTCCAACCAGGCTGCCTATGATCCTGGAGGCTATGCTTAGTTTTCCACACTGGGATTCAAATTCAGTAAGAACCTAGCTCTTTTGAATTTCAGATGGAGTTAGCTGTTATCTAGCCTAGCAGTTTGTAGATGGCAGATGTTTTCACTTTAAGAAAATCCAGTAGGCTCCACATTGACTTGTAGAAGAGATCATTCATGGGGCAAACTCTCTTTACGCGAGAGTTCTTGTATACGTAAATACGCCTTTCTTTAAAATAGTGAATGTCTCTTTTCCTGGGGCACTTATAAGATTTTGGCTGATGAAATCAGATTTTCATGTAACTCTGAAAGAAAAGAGCTTCTGAACAAAAGTAGGAACACATACCCGGGTTCCTTTAGACACCAAGCACATGTTGAGCACCACTGTATGCCTCGCACTGGACGAGGTGATTTGGAGGTCATAATTAGGACGAGGCATGTCCAGGCCTTTCTCCTGTTTAGGAATCCCTCTGCTTGCTGCATGAGCAACTTCTTAGCACTCAATATGCGGGAGTCAGTTCTGGCTTGACACGGGGGTGATGTACAGGGATGTTCTGTGGGGGATGCATGGATTTTCTTTTTTAATCAGACATTCTCCTCTTGGGGAAGGAGCTAGAAACAATGGTAAGAGGGAAAAGTGACAGCAAGAAGTCACTTGTTTCATTATGTTTTCCTAGTGTGACATGTTGGGAAGCTCTATAAAAAGAGGAAAACGGGGGTTATGGAGTCAGTCCAATTTGGACTCGAACCCCAGCTTCCCTGCACACCAGCTGGTGACTCAGGTCAAGTTCTCTCACCTCTCTGAGCATCTGTGTCACACGCGTAAGAACAGAAATAATGACGGGAGCACCTCAGCAGGGTCCTGAGGATTCAATGAGCTACTGTATGGAAAGTACTGATGGATCATAAAAGACTCTAAATTAAAAATTATAACAGTACAGCCTCATTTCCATGAATAACAACCTTCCCTTTTTTTGACTTCAACCCCTTTTGGCTTTAAACCCCTGTTAAGTAAACCCCTGTAGGTATTATATATATACCCGGAAAGTGGGTAACAGGTAACCCCCTGTCTTAACATCAGAAAACTGGTCAGCAGAAAACTGGTCACCCAGAGAGTGGGTTGCTGAGGCAGAAAGAGATGTGTCCTGGGCACAAGGACCCCTTTGGGGACCCAGAGCCTCTAGCTCCAGGGGCCAACCCGAGCTGACGCAGTGGACCCACTTCCTGGTTTGCCTCACAGCTGATCTGGACCTGTCTTGGTCATTTTAGGCAGGTCTGGCCTGGTCTGGTCTGGTCTGCAGGTGGGTCTCTCAAGGCTCCATAAGAGCAGAAGAATGTTCCAGGACACCACTGTCAGGGACCAGAGAGGCCAATTCAAGGGATCCCCCAATTCTCTTGAGCCCCAAGCAGTCAGAAGGTGAGGATACAAGGAAGAGCTGGGAAGCTACTAAAGCCCTGTCAGGGGACGGTGGACAGTACTCAGGTCGACTGCTCCTTATGAAATGTGATGACCTGTCCTCATACCTCAAGTGTTAACTGGGGGCCTTTCCCATCAACAGGAATGTTTAACAAATTGCATTTCAGATTGGGATGAACTTAACTTATTCCCTGCACAGTATAGAGGTTAAGAGGACCTTAACCTCAACAATGCCCAGATTAATGTATACAACTTTCCATTAAAAAGCAAAAGCAAACAGCAATTCACCGTACTTGGCAAATGTTTGGTGACCTTGGGGAAAACAAATTATTGGAATCAGGGGTACACTGAGGTCAGAGCTGACCATCAGAGTGCCACTTGGAAGGATCCAAATAATAGACTATTCCACTGTTCTCAATCCCGTGTATCCTCCTGAATGGACCCAAAAAGCCTTGCTGTTTGACATGCAAAGAGGGAATTAGGGATACTGGCTTTCTAGTGGATTCCATGCCTTGGGACTTAGGCAGAAATTTGGTGACTTGAACAGGCTGGATCAGGCCTGGGTCTTGTCCAGAGAAGCTAGAGATAGGTGTTTTTGTGCTGTGAACACTGAATACTGACAAGGAGAAGACCATAGTCTGGGCCTGAGCAGCACCATCATGGGTCATTTGGGTCCTTAAAAACAAGAAAGGCACCCAGTGGTCTTGATCAGGGTAACTAGGAGTGAGGGGAAATAGATGAAATAAGACTCAGTGGTGTGAAGTTATGGACAGAGGGCTGGCTACCTCGCAGGCACTGAGCCAGACCCTCAGCCCCATGGTTGACACCTGCCTAATCGGCAATTTCTGAGAAGTCAGGGTAGGGTTCTAAGTCAGCAAAGATGTCATTGGGATTCCTACAGCTGAGGTTGCAGAAGCAGGCATTGATCCACAGGACCTGGCGGGAGAAACCTGGCCCATCGGGGCATTGGAAAAAGACGTCAATGGTCTTGGACTTGTAGGGGATGCAGCACCTGTTGTCTGTGCAGGCCCCACAGTACTTGGGTTGGTAGGAGCGTGTGCTGACGCAGCCTGCAAGGGTGAAGTTCATGGGCACCTCTGGCTGGTATACAGCCAAGCACTTCTTCTCAGCCTGAAGGAAAGAAAGTTGCTTTCAGTGGGGAAGTTCAGAGGACAAACAACCACCTTCTTCCCTCCAAGCCCTTGATTTTTCCTTCTCACTTGTCACAGGAGCATTCCCCCTTATTTTTAGAACCACGGCATGTTCACACAAGGAAGGACACTAGCAAATATAGCAAGATCCGGCTCCCTGAAACCAGCAATAGGACTACACGGTCGGGGGGACACACAGCACTCTTACCTCCCCATCCTCTGTCTCCCATGGCTTCTCCCACATGTGCTTGTCAGCACCTTATTCTATGGGACCAACATTCTTTAAAGGAAGCTCAATCCTTCTATTGGACTATGGTTCCTTGAGATGGTGCCCGTTTTCTGTGTCTACAATATAATTCTGCATCTGGTACATAGTAGCCACTTATTAACTTGTTAGGAGTTGCTGGGGTCTGCTACGTAGCAACACTGTGCTGGATCAGGATCGGTGGGGGTGTGAAGCTTATGGAATTGGCCAACCCTTTTAGGACACATAATTATAGAAGCAAAGCTGAGCCTGCAGCCTAGGTGGATCCATCTCGCTGGCTCGGGGTCTTGCCTCCCATTGCTCCTGCTGCTGCTGGGACATTTTCCATTTCTGTTTTTAGTCAGGAGCTGTCCGCTGAGCACCAGCTGTGTACTAAGCACAAATAATACAATGGCTAGCAGGACAGAGAATGATACTCCTAGAGGAAGGAGAAGGGAGAGGAAGGACGGATGAGGTCGACTGGCAGAGAGGAAAGGAGGAGCTGTGCAGGGGCAAGCGGCAGTGGAGGGCGTCTAAAGAGGGTCACAGGGGCTGGGCCGTCCTGTCCACTGGGCAACCTTCTCCCCGGCATGCCCAAGAAACCAGCAGTGCTGCAAGAGTGGAATCAGGGCTGAGCTTTGGCTCTGTTTTGCTTTGTTTTTCACATGACATCAGGCTGACCCATCCTAAGGCGTGAGTGAGGAGGGCTTCAGTCAGGTAAATAAGATCCATGTCCCACTCTGAGGTCTGGGCCTGGTGCTCAGCATGGGAGGAGATTGGCTATAGTCCTATGCCATTAACAGCAGACAGGTCCTGGACTCCCGGGGCCCCAAGTCCTCTTCAGAGCTCCCCATGTAACTCCGTGCTAGTGCACAGAGGACGGATGGGAATTGAAGAGGAACTCTCAGAATGACTATGGAAGAGCGCTTCCGAAAGTCCCTGAGATCTCTTCAGAGTGACCTTGGTTCTGGTTCTGCCAGAGCTTTTGGTGAATCAAATTCACCAAAATGCACCAACTAATAACACACACACATTGTCACAAACAACTCTCACCCCAAACATACCAAGTGGGCTTCATTATTCCCTTATTACGAAAGGCCCCTCCAAGAAGGTCCAGGAGCCAAGCTCAAAGCCAGGTTTGTCCAAGGTGCTGCTGGTGCTCTGGACCCACCTTGATGAGTGGACGGACATCCACCTCACACGGCCGCAGGTTGCAGAGGCGGCTCTGTTGCTCAGGCCGGCACCAGGCGTTGGCGTTGGAGATCCGTGTGGAGACCCCCAGGCCGCAGCTGGTGGAGCAGGGGCTCCAGGGGCTTGTGTAAGCAATGCAGTTCCTGTGCCATGGCTCCACGTCGTCTGCAGCCACTGTATGTGGGGGCAAGATTCCCCGTGTGTCTCCAGCTTCCAGCAGCCTGACCCTCACCCTCCTGCACCAAGGTCCCCAAAACTCAGAGAGAGAGAGAGAGAGCACACTTGGGTGCCCTCCCCACAGGAGGGCAAATTCCCTTTTAACTGGCAAAGTTACCAAGGGAACAGAGAATGTGTTCTCAGGTCCTTATATTTTTCTGATTAAGAGAGGTTGCACGGAAGCTTGGAAGGAAAGCCATCTTTAGAGACAGGTGGCTGGCCCCAAGTTGTGTGACCTTAGATAACCCACTCTGGGCTTGCCTCCTAGACCAATAACATCTCCCTCTGGGCTGTTAGGACAGTAAAAAGGTCTAAATTTTGACTATGACCCGTCAAGCATTTCACCAGGTGCTGGGAATAGGAGGATAAACAGATGTCGGGGTGGGTACAGTTGTGCCCGGCTTGAAGTCCCAGCTACTTGGAAGACAGAGGCATGAGGATCCCTTGAGCCCAGAAGTTCCAGCCTGGGAGAGAGTGAGAGCCTGCAAGTCCCTGTCTCTAGTAAAACAAACAAACAAACAAAGCCATTGTCCCTTGTTCCTGCTGCTGCAGAGATTACGTTTACTTGGGGGAAATTCAAAGGTGACTACCTATGTCTTAATACCTCATATGTCACGTCAGTAATGCTGAGGGCATTGTGATCATGAGGAAATACAGGCTTCAGGGTCAGATATCCAGGGTGGCCCTGGTAGCACTGCCACTTACTAGTTGTGCAACTTCCAAAAAGCTGTCTATACCTTCCTGTCTCAGCTTCATCACCTGCTAGTGGGGTTGACAACAGCACATCTCTCCCAGAGCTGTGAAAGGTGACTTCACACCTGTGAAAGCAGCCAAGCAGTCCCGGGCCTCTTAGGAAGCTAAGCCCACGGCCAGTGGGAGTGTGTGTGGCTACTTCACTGTGGCCAACTCAACGACCCACTTGTGGGTGGCTCTATTAATGTACATGTTTCCACATCTAGAACGTGGTAGGTCCTCATTAACTACCTGAAAAATGGAAAGTGGTAGTGAGCTGGAGATGGAGGCAGGGATGAGCCATAAGACGGAGAACTGTCCCCCGAGAGACAGGGACCAGATGCACGAGAGGAAGACCTGAGGAGCAGGCCAGTCCCACGCAGACACGGTGTGCTCAGGAAGCCAGAGGCAGGAACAGGCAGAGAGGAAAGGGATGGAAAGACAGGGGTGGAGGGGGAGAGACAGAGAGCAAGAGGAGGGGCAGCACGGATGGAGGACAGAGGGGAGGTGAGAAAAGTAATAGAAGAAAGAGGAATGGGGTGTGGGGAGAAAAGAGGAGCAGCAGAGAGAGGTGCAGCCAGGACGAGAAGGGCAAAGAGCCCGTCAGTACCTACGCTCGGGCCCAGTGAGGCTGAGGTGTGCAGGGAACACAGATGAAGGAATGAGGAATGAGCAGGGTAACAGGGAGAGAGCTGAGAAGCAGGAGAGAAAGTGGGCGTCCAAGCACAGAAGAGGGGCAGGGCTGGGTGGGGCTGGGCTGTAAGCACCTTGGTGGGCAGCAATCCGCCTGGGAGGATAAAAGGGCTTTGGTTTCTGGGTCACCTCATCCAGGCAGGGGCTCTGTGTGTACTAGGACAGAATGGGGTCACTGGGCCACGCACAATGGGCAGACAATCTCTGCCTCCCCCTCTCCTGGTGACCCTTTGTGGCCCTCATGGCGGGGGTGGGGGGACAGCTGCCCTGCTGACCAGGCCAGCTGGGGACCAAGCTTTCTCTGCTGCCTCCTGCCATGCACACGGCTTCTCCAGCTGGCGATGTTATCTCCCAGTGCACACTGGCAATGTCTGCAGGTGTTTTTAGTTGTCACAATGCTGGGGGCAAGGGAGCTACTGGCACCTAGTAGGTAGAGGTTGCTATGCTACTAAACATTCTCAGTGCACTAACACCCCCCCCCCCATAAAGAACTACCTGGCCCAAGACACTGACATTGTCAAGTGTAGAGCAGGGAAATCCTGCTCTACACAGTCCCTGAGCAATCTCCAGCTCTTAAATTCGTAGAACTCCCAAATCCATTGCCGATGCTTCACTCCTTCCTGTCTGTGTTCCTAGTAGACATTTCCCTTTGAAACATCCTCATCTGCCACCTGCCATGCCATCAGGCACACCAAGTCTTCCTCTTATAGCTTGGCCCTCCCTTCTGTCCCCTCTCATCTCATCTCCTATCCACTCTTCAGATGTCAGCCTCCCCAGACCTGAGCCCAAGCCCATCGCAGCCACACCCAGGCCAGCAGCTCCAAGCAGAGGGTTTTCTGAACCCCTCCCTCCTCCAATACTGACCCGCCTCTCATTACACTAACCCCACCCTGTCTGGACACAGCAGATCGGCTTCACTCCATGTGTGTCCCTGCACTTGACCTCTGGCCTGGGCAAGGAGAAGCCCAGGAGTCCTGCTCCACTCCGCTTCCTGCTCCACCACTGAAGGAGGTGGATTGATTTGACACAGAGACCTTAGTCTCACTTGGGCAATGCCTTCAACATCTGTGTCTTCCTCATCTCTCTCCTCTCTCTGTCCTGGTTCAGATGCTCACTAGCTGACCCAGCCATTCCTCCACCTGTCTATTCACCCATCATCCATCCATCCATCCACCATCCTTCCACCAATATGACAGATACTAGCTGGGTATGTGCTAGATTTCTGATGTGGGGCCAGGCTCCAGGAAGCAGAGGTGAAACAAAAAGACATCTCTTCCAGACCCATCTCCTCTGCTCATGCCTCCCCTCCCTAGGTCCCCACACACCTGCCCTTCTTCCATCCCCATCCCCACCCCTAAGCTCCTTAGCAGGAGGGCTTTGTGTAGGGCTTTATTCTTTATAATGTGTTGGTATTATCTCCATTTTATAGACAGGGAAATAAGGGTCCTAGGGGAAGGTGACTTTCCCAAGGTCACACAGCTCCTAAGTGATGGGCTGAGGATTAAGACTCAGCACGAATCACTCCTGGGTGGTCAGAGCACCTGGAGGGTCTGCAGCCCGCCCTTGGGGTCCACCCTTGGCCCACCCAGGCCCACACCCACCTAAGGCGTCCGTATCACGAGGCGCAGTTTTGCGTGGCTTCCTGGCGTTGTCGTCACAGACCCACTGCTCACAGCAGCGGCCAGGCACGCTCACGCGCCGTGGGTGGTGGCACCAGAGGCGCGGGGGCCGTGCCCGGAGGCACAGCGGCGTGCAGCCCACTGCGCCGTCGATGCATGTGCAGTTGTACTTGCAGTTGGGCTGGAAGGACTGGCCGTTGTTGTAGCGCACCCCGTCCAGCACACAGCCCACGCCAACCACCTCTGCAAACACAGGGGGCAGTGGGTCAGGCCCAGTGGGCATGGTCCCCTGGCCTGGCAGCCTCCCACCCTGGACCACACAGGAACCCCGGGGATGGCTCCCAACACAGGGGAAGGGTGAGTGCTGCAGTGACAAATGCAGGGGGGCTGGGAGGGCTGGGCACCGTGGGCATGGGCACTGGGTGGGACTGTGGTGGGGGGAAGGCAGGGCAGGAGTTTCTGTGGGTCACCAGCCAGCACCCACTGGAAAACATTCATGCCAGTCTCCACCTACTGAGCACTGGGTCAAAGATACAGCATCCCACAGGTGGAGACCCAGGTGGTCTGGCATAAAGCCCGGTACCAAAAAATACCTGCCACTGGGGCTCTTGGGTCTGAGGGAGGCAGGCATGCAAAACAAGCCAGGACACCTGGAAACTGCTCCAGTCACTCAGCCCATGTGCATGGAGCCTCCAGGTGTTGGAGATTGAATAAAGAATGAAAGAGACAAAGCTCATGTCCTCAAATAGTTCACGATATAATGAGGTCGGGGAGAGGATAGACATAGATCATGTAGTGCTGGTTGTGTTGATGGTGACAGTTGATGGTGACAGGTGTCTAGGTGAGAAGGGGAGCATGGAGTTGGGGGTAAGAGTGGGGACCAGTTGCCAATTCAAGTGAGGTGGGCAGGGAAGGCCTAACTCAGAGGCTGAGGCTATCACAGAGGCCTGGAGGAGGCAAGGAAGTGAGCTCACCCAGTGTGGGGGACGAGCCCTCAGGCAGGGAGGGGATGCACATCAGAGGTGTGAACAGGGACCCTGGATGAGGGAAGAGTCGGGGTGGGAGGAGAGGAGGCAGGAAGGCTTCCTTCCAGGCTCAGAGGAGGCTGCAGAGCCGTGAGAGCCTGGAACCGTGAGGTGCTCAGTGAGCAGCTGTTGACCAGGTGATAGGGATTGAGCTTTAAAAGGACACTCTTGGCTCTGAGCTGAGTGTAGACAGTAAGGATAGAGTCAGGGCCAGTAACCCAGGTGAGTGGGAGGGGCCCAGAGTGCAGCTTCTAGACAGATTTGGAAGGAGCTGGTGGGACTTGCTGAAAGTCCAGGAGAATGGGGTCCAGAATGACTCCTAGTTCTATAACTGGAGTCCTGGAAGGATTAAGACTCTCTGTCCTCCTAGGAGGAATAAGTTTTGGGATAGGTGGACTCCAGTGCTCTTCATTAGGCATGAGATTCTGGGTTGACATGGAGCGGCCATGTGGCAATGGTTATGCCAGCCCACAGCTCCAGGGTGAGCTTGGAAGCTGCTGGGCTAGATGTCACCCTTGACATCACATTCTCTCTTGAGGACAGTTTCTGGAAATACACGTAGAGAGCCCCTGGGCAGCGAGAGTGCCTACCGGAGGAGGGGCACTGGCAATGTGCAGTCACCGATAACTCTGTCCTGTCCCCGGGTTTGCCTAGAGGTGGTTGTTAACAATACTGATCCTAACGTCTAGCAGCAAGACGGTTTTCTAAGTGCTGTCTCCTCTGTGTGTGCTTACTGCATTTTCCATCCCATAGAGACACACCATCACGTTGCCATCTTCATTTTCCTGGGGTGTGGTTATTGCACAGGCACAGAGAAGAGAGACACTCTTTCTGACCATCTGATCTCGCACCAGGCCCTGTCTGATACGTTATCAGTCAGTTTTTCCAATGACTCCATGAGCTTTATTTCCCCTGTTTGGTAGACAGGAAAGCTCAGAGAGGTTAAATGACTCATTTGTTCAAAGTCATGAAATTGGCAAATGATAGAGCTAGGACTCAAAACCCAGAGGATCTGGCCACAGCCTGTTTCCTACCGCCAGACCCCAGTCAAGGAGGGGAAGCAGGGAGGGGAAAGAGCAGAGGAGCCACTGGGCGAGTCTCCCGTCTCTGTGTTCTGAGTCACTCCTGCCTGCGCCCTTGCTCCAGGAGGGTGTGTATGTGTGTGTGTGTGTGTGTGAACGCCTGTGCATACACGCACACATGTGTGTTTGTGTGTAGGAGAAGGTGGGAGAAGGGAGAGGGCTAAGCCCAGAGCTCTGACCCCTCGTGTGGAGACCTGGGGGGAGACAGTGCAAGATGCCTAGGGTCCTTGGCATAGTGCTTCTCACCATGAGCTACACAATGGAACCACAGTGGAACCTGGAAAGCTCTGGAAAATTCTCAGGTCCACCTCATGCCTCAGAATGTGGGGGTGGCCTTGGGTCTTAGTATTTTTCTTTTGCTGGCCTCAGTACTTTTTAAAGCTCCCCAGATGAATCCAGTTTGCAGCCAAGGCTGAGAACCACCCCACCTAGGAGGTGCTACAGTCTCCTTGGGCCTTTGAGTGGGGATGACGCGGCATTCCTGCTGGCTCCAGGGACCCTGCCCACTACAGGCTATGGGATGCATGGTGGCAGTGATGGCCTTACTGGCAGACTCAAGGGTTCCTTCCTTATTCACTTTCTGACTGATCAAAGGACCCACTCCTGAGATCTGGCGAAGCCAGCTGGGTTTCCTTAGCGCCTCCTGTCTAATCTCAGCCTTGCAAGTTCACATGTGATTGGTTACCTTTCCTCTGATTGAAGGACTTCCAGAAACTCAAGTCACCTTGCTCTGCCACTGGGGCCTTCAGCCACACCTCCAAGGACTGTTGGCCCCATGGGAAAAAGGAGAGTGGGTCATGCCTTGTTGCACTCACAGAGGTGAGTGAGGGTACCCTTTTTGTACCCTCACTCACCTGTGTTCATCTTGTGAATAATTGATGGATGGGTAGACATGAGCTGAGGTGAGCCTGATCTTTACCAGGTTCCTCCTGTGTATTAGTCACTTGGCATCCCACCTGCCCAGTGAGGTGGATATTTTTTGTCATATTTTTCTTGATGTGGAAACTGAGCCTTAAAAGGTTAAGTAGCTTGCTAAAAGTCATAGCACTAGTTAGTGATGATGCAGGGCTTTGAACTCAGGTTGTTTAGCTCCAAAGGCTGCATGAATTTTCTTCTTCCTCACTCTTAGACTGGGAGGTCTAGGGCTGGAACTCTCCTCATTGGCAAGACAGAAATGACTTCTGCACATGAAGGTTAAAGCAAAGCAAATAAAACCCAAACCAGCCAATCACAATTTTTTTTTGCATGCCCTTGTTTATTCCGTAACAATCACATGAGGTTGGTTTTATCATGCCTCTGAAGTGACGTGCCTACAGTCACATAGCTAGCAAGTTGCAGAACCGGGCCAAGTGTGTCTGCCTATAAATATGATCTTTCCAGCAAACCACAAAGCCCTCAGGCCTGTGCCAGCTGTATTAAATGCAGAGTAGTGTTTGTACAACCAAAATAGCCAGGCAGTCTTATTCAGAGGCCACTCTCTGCCCACACATCTATTTAGTTTGGCCTACAGAATGTTTTTTAGATTTTTGGATGCATTGCCAACATTTACAAATAATACACAAATCTCAGTTTCTGGAATCTCTTAAAAACTGAGCAGTCTGGATAAAACCTGGCTTTTTTGCAGTGGCAGGCACAGTAGGACCACCCCTGATGGCAAAGGCTTACATTCAGTAGCTAGCAATAGTTCTCACCATCCTCCATTTGAGTTATATGTGCCAGGGTTGCAATAGCTCGTGTTGATCACCTGCCTTCTCCTGGCCTCATTACAAGCACATATCCGAGGACAGATTTAGCCTTTTCTGGGGACTGTCTGTTGGCTGAGCTGACCGTTTTCTGAAAGAGAGGGGCCCTTCCTTCTTTTTTCCCTCCATCCCAGAAGTGCCTTCTTCTCTTACCTTTAGGCCTCCCTAGACTCTCTTCTTTCTTGCATTCGAGTCTCACAATTGAGACTCTATGACACTATGGTAGCATTTCTAGGAACATGCTCAGTGTTGCACTGGCGAGGTGTGTGTGTTTGCACATGTACATGTGTGTGTCTATGTGTGTGTGGTGAAGAATCCACCTAGGCCAGGGTTCAGTGTTCAACTAAGTCAGAAAAGACAAAGCTTCTTATGAAGCTTATGATCACTCCCTCTTGGAATTTAACAATGGATATGAACATCTGAAGCCTTTGGGGATTTCTGTAACTCCTAGTCAGTTTTATTTATCTCAAGCCTGCCTGCAGGGAACCCGTGGTAAATGTAACACCTATTACAATCTCCTTTGGACTATGTTTTTTGTTTGTTTTTCCAAATAAAAAGACAGGAAATACACAGAGGCTCATGGTGTTGGCAAGCTGAGGGGATGTAGGAAGAGAAGGTGGGAACTGAGTGCAAAGAGATGGGGGTGAGGGGGATGGGAAGGCGGCTGCCAGGCCCTGGGCGGGGAAGGTAGGCGGGAGAGGCAGTTTCTTGGCCCACACAACCTCTTGACCAAGAAAGAAATCTACAAAAGTACAGTGCCCAGCACATGATGGGCTTTTTCAGTCTAGCTTTAGAGATTAGAAGAATTGCAATGAACTAAATTATTTTTTAAATTACTTTGAAGAGTGTTTTTAAAAAGTGAAAGCAGTTTTGAGGCCAGCTGGTTCTGGTGCAGGAAAGCCAGGGCAGGCTTCTCCTCTCCTTGGGTTACAAGGAGAGGGTGGATGATGTGCACCAGCAGGCCGTCCTGAACTTCAGCATGTGTGAAAATCACCTGGGCGTCTAGTTAGAGGTCTGGATTCCCCTCCCTACTCCCAGAGAATTTAACTCAACAGGTCTGGGGCAGGGCTCAGGAGTGATGTTTGTAACCAACACAGCTGATGAATCTGTGCAGGCGATGCTGCCTGTTCTTTCTGAACATACTGCTCAACAAAGGAAGAAAATCAGAAAGGGTGAAAAGAAGTGGGGTGATTACTTACAAAGCTGAAGATACGTGACTTGGAATGAAAGTTGAAGTGTGAACCAATGATAAAAAATTAGAAAGTTCTGTAAGTTAATTGTGAAGCTCAGGTAGAATTGTCAGACTGAGAATTATCAGTATTACCCTTGGCACTGCACCTGACCTCAGGAAACACTGTGGGTTAGCTGGGTAAGAGACTGTGCCATATGGGGGCTGATAATGGGGTAGGTCTGGAGTCACAGTTACAGGGAAGGCTTAACTCAGCACTGAGGGAAGAACGCTTTGTGGAACTTTTCAGAAGTTAGCCTGCTGTGTCATCATGCCTAGTTACCTCTCTTCATCATGCTGGGTCATGCATTTCAGATGATTCAAGATTAAGGGAATACAAGTCCAGATAGAAGGATGTCAGAAAGTCTCAGAAATGAAGTCTCTGGGAACAAAAAAGGGACAGAATAGCCATGATAGAACACTTAAGAGCAAATAAGCACCAATAGTCCTCCCTCCAAACATGAAAATATTATAACAGACCCAGAGTGAAGGAAAAGCAAAGGCAATTAGAAACTCCAGGAAAAACAAGAGGGCTTATAAGAAAGAAAATTCAGACAAGTAAACTATCTCACATTGCAGCGAACCATACTCACATACTCATAATGTAAATACTGATGATTGTACAACCAAAACTTAGGACAATGACATTTAGAATATAGGTGGTATTGAGGAGCTGAGTCATCAGCTCTCATAAAGGTATATTAATAAAATATACAAAATTGATACATGCAGCTAATTAAGATATAGCAGAAGACATGTAATATATAGTGGGAAACATCAGAAGAAAGGGAAGTTATAAGGAACTGTAGGAACCAGAGGAACATGGGGGCTGGTAGGAAAGCAGTTGCTCTCTGCTAGTTTTTATCCTTTTAAGGCTACTGGATTTTTAAAAACCATATTATTTAATTTGTAATGTTATTAAAATACCCAGAATTCTGCCGTGTCTTGGTATTCCCTGGGAGCCCATAGGCATCTGTCAAAAGATCACACTCAGAGAACAAACCAGGCTTAGTTCCTTCCTGGTGGCTCTCTCTTCCCCAGGGATGGCCATAAGTGTGCCTCTAGGACTAAGAATAGAGCAAAGAGGGAGTGTCTGGGCCACGGAGAATGAAGGCAGCCCTCTCTCTTAGGAAGTGACACCTTTAGCCTCTAACTTCTGTTGAACAGAAGCCTGGCCAGGTAAGGGGCTGTGGGTGTGGCGAGGGAGAGGGGCCTTGAGCAGGAGCTGGGGGTGCTGGGGGCTGCTGGGAAGGTGGGAGGGTCTCACTTACGTGCACACACTCCTATTGCGTACCTCGGGCGGTCCCCACTGTAGTCACAGTAGAGGCCCCTGTGGGGGTCACAGACAGCTGCCTCTGTGCAGTTGTCCCCGAGCTGCTGGGCACACATCTTACAGCACTCACAGCCATCTGTGATGAGGCTGACCCCCAATGGGCAGCGGGGCGGGGATGCTGGGCACTCGCATGGCCACTTGCAGAATTGGGGATGTGAGGATGTGTCCTCCGGTGGTGCTGGGGTGAAGGTCATGGTCGTGGGCTCTGGAGAAAGGGCCTGCTGGAGAAGAACAGAAGTGAAGGGGGCTGCTGAGGTGGAGTCTCCACATCACATTCCCAACTTCCTGGCATTCAAAAAGGTTTCAGCAAATTATTCTGAGCCTCAGGCTTGCATCCTGCCTTCCGGGTGGTGTCCACAGCCTCAGAGGTGAGTGGCTGGCTTCATGCTACAGAGAGGAAGTTGAGGCTCTGAGAAGTTCAAAGCCTGTGAGTCACACAGCAGCAGTGGGCTCGGGCTCAGATCCCAGGGCTCTTCTGCTATGACCTGAAGGTCCATCCTTTTTACCCCACCAAGAGTTCTGATTCTATTCAAGATGGAATTCAGCCAGCCAACCTATTGTCATAATAGTTATTATTATTCTTTGCCCCTCTGAACATCAGGACAGACTTGGCTCTGGAGCAGCAGGTGGGTGGCGTTACAGCTCCTGGTGTGTGGACCTCCCAGGCTGCAGAGAAGTGCACAGTGTCTGCTGGCCAGCACAAGCCCTGCACAGAGGAGTCTTTGCATTTTGCTCTCAGGGCAATGGGTCTCCCTTCCCAAGCCCTGCCCGGTATCTTCTGAACATCAACCAAACAAGGGTGTCATCTTTATCCTGGCAAATAAGATGATGTAACAATGGGCCAGCGGGGAAGGGAAACCAAGGCACAAAGAGCTCCCTGCCCTGAAGACTGGGCAGGGCATGTCCTCGTGTCTAAGTTATAAGAGCTTCAAGCTACCTGTATCTCCCAGACCCAGTCACCTTTCTGCCCCTTCCAGGATGCTTCCCTGAATCCCATCTGCGACACTCCCTCTGTATACCAGAGGACACTTTGGCTCAGGGGAGGAGAAGAATCTCCTGAGGACACAAGGAACAGAGGCCAGAGCCAGGCTTCGAGCCATCCTCCCACTCCTGGGCCATGGGGCACTCTGTCCAGGGCTTTTCACCTGTGACACCTGAATTCAGAGGTGACCCTGTGCTGCCATGAGGGCAAGCATGGGGTCTGGCTGGGCTCCAGACTACTCCCTCCATGTGGAACCAGGGAGCCCAGTGTGCAAGGCTCACAGGTCTACCTTCTGTGCTGAATGAGGGACACTAGTGCTCCTGTTGTATTTTTGAAGAAACACAAACAAGGGCAGTCAAACTAAAGCCAGGCTGAGATAGATGCTCACATCTTTCACCCCTTTCTCTAGCTGGCAACTGAGACCCAGGGAGGCAGGTGGGCACCTCCAGGATGACCCTGCTTACACCAAGCCCCCAGACACAAACAAATCTCCTGACTCTCAGGGTGACACACTTGCCTTCTGCCTCCTCCGGGCTCTTTGTCTCACGCAACGCATCTGCAGAGCCAGCTTATGGTGTCTCTTAAGCTTTAGGTATTTGATGATAAATTAAAAAAATCCCCTGTGCTTGTATAATTTTACAGGAATTAGAGGCAATTTATTACAACTTGAGGCACTGAGCACTGTGCAAAGATCCAGGTGCTCTAAACACCAGGGCAGGGATCACTCTGCACAGGTGAGTGGGGCCCACCCTTGTACGCTGGCCTGGAGGACCAGAGTCCAGTCAAACTGCTGAATTAGTCTGGCTTTTGGTTCTGGTCCTGGCACACAGAAAATTCAGTAAACATTGATTCCGGGACTAAAGGGTCCTTTAAAATCAAAAAAGCAAACCCAGATTTGGGGCTTTCATAACCCACGGGCTCGACTTCAGGCCTTGGCAGCCTCTGCTGGCCTGCTGATCTGTGCGTGCCTGGCTTTCCCTGAGGGCATCATGTGCTCTTCCTAATTAGAAATTTGTGTGGTTTGGGGAGGTTACGCCTGTGAACTCCATGGGCACCAGCGCAGGGTGCACATTGCCTGTCCTCACTGGGGCAGATGGGTGGCTTCTCTATTGGGGCCAAACAGACCCTAGGATAATTAAGAAAACAATGCCTGTAGCTCCCTTCAGGGAGGAAGGCCAGTGGCACCATGTGTTTGGAGGGCCTTGCTGGCAGGGAGCAAAGCTCTCTGGGGTGGTGGTGCTGACTGGTGTTCATCTGGGAGGCTTTAGTTCGACTGCCCTTTTTTTGTGTTTCTTCAAAAACACAACAGGATACAAGACCCCCCAAATTTCTAAATCACTAAAACCAATCTCTCTTTCTCTCTCTCTCTCAAACACACAGAGATACACACCCTTACACACACATACACACACAACTACTCCTATTTTTTGACACTGTGGAGAGAGGCTTTTCCTCCTCAGGCTATGACCCTAGAAGCCTCAGATCACCCTAAGTACCAGTAGACTGTCTCTGAGGAGTCCTCACGCTGTCAGCATGTGCTCTCAGGAGAGGAATAAAGACCACCTCTCCTCCAGGAAGCCTCCCCTGCCTATGCTGTGCTGAGTTAGAGGTGCTGTCCCCACCCCCTCTGCCGTATGAACTTGAGAGGGGGTCTGGGCCTTGCTTCTCCCCATGAAGACAGGGCACGAGGTGCACAGCAGGGCTTCGTAGGTGTTGCCTGGTGGGATGGTTGGCTGGCTGGAGGGTTGCTGGCCTCCAGCCAGCCAGCCATCCCACCACACAACAGTGTCACTTGCTATTGAGGACATCACATCCTGGAACCCAGACTCTTCCCCTCAGCACTAAGGTTTGGGTGTCAAGACAAAAACAGAAGGCCTATGCCATACAGATGTGAGGTCTTTCCGTGTGGCCTTGGGCAAGCGCCCACTCTACTGAGTCTCAGCATCCCACATGTAAGGCGGGTGCAGTCGGGCCACCTTGGCTCCAGGGGTGATTCGGAGGGATATTATGGGAGCGGAAACATTAAGAGGAGCTGGCACTAACATGGCTGTGCACCCTCTCCACACCACCACGGCAGTGCCCAGGACAGACTGGGGCCCCAGACACTGAGCTGAGCTGGATGGAATAAGCTTTCACCTGGTCACCATCCATACTCCTGTCTCCATCCCCATTTAGAGATCTTCATAAGGAAACTTCCTTCCCAAATGCCTGCCTCGAGGCACCAGAGCACACAGCTGATTAAGGGAAGACACAGAGAAGGCCTGACTTTGGACAGGACAGCACCTATGGGCCCCCAAGCAGTGCCAGGCGGGCTCTGGACAGTCTGCTAAGCCAGCCTTTGCTGTTGGCGCCATCTAGTGGTAGAAAACTCAGCCCAGGAAGGAAAGTGCTGGACAGGAGCCACTGGGAGGCTTGCAGATGGGGGCTGAGGACTCCTGGGTTTAATGCATGTCCCTTCGAGTCCTGGTTGCCTTGTCCAGCATCTAGATCCAGCCACTTAGGGAGTGTGACTAAGAGAGTTCAGACTCCTGATAATGAGCCGACCTCCCCCCTCCTTCCTGTTTGTGTTTGCACATAGGAAAACAGGCCACTGGCAGGGGGAGGCTTCTGCCCTCCAGGGCGGACCATGGAGCCAGCGCATGTTCATTGACTCTCTCGGTCCATCCACTGTGCTTATTGAGCACCTATGGTGTGCGGGACTTTGTATGAGGCTGGAAGGAAGCAAAGCTGCATAGACAGAGTTCCCCTCCTTGACACTGAGCACAGTGAATGCTGTAATGACGATGTCCTCTCACACACCCATGCTTTTATTTCCCCTTTCATTTGATTATTCAGCACATCTTTAGTCTGCTTTCTTGTGTGCCAGGTGCTGACTGTGTGCTGGGGAGACAGTGAGGGAGCCAAATGGACCGGCCTGGGGGAGTGCAGAGGAGGGGGAGCTGGGTGTGCTGTGGTTGGAAAGGGCTTCTCAGAGGAGGAGCTATGCAGGTCTGGAAGGAGGGGAGATGGAGCTGAGGAAAGAGGGGGCACACAGGGACCAGGTGCAGATGCACTGAGCTGGTACCTGCGCTGGTGCCTGGGGCCTGATGTGGCTTCTGGGCAGAGGCAAGAGGAGGTGCCGGCTGGGGAGAGGAGGCTGGAGCGAGCAGGCAGCATAGACCAAGAAAGGCCTCCAGTGCCTGACTACTGTCCTCTTATCCACCATGAGCTCCTTAGGCTGGGGGACGGGGCCCATCCTGCCCAAGGAGAAACTGATCTTTGCAAACACACACCTTCCTGTGGAGTCTACATCATTCTTTTCAGCAGCAGAATTTCAGAAGGAAAAAAGGGAAACAAATATTATAAATCAAGAAGAATGTTGTCTAGGGAAGGCCAGAAAAAAAAAAAAAACAGCATTAGTACTTTCAGATTGCAGGAGTTCACATAAAAGTCTCTCCTGGAATTAGACTCTCTGCAGATACTGAGTTTATGGTTAAGACAGAATGTGGTAGGAATCTGTGATGTTTTCCCAGGAAAGATGCCCAGGGCTTGCTCAGCACAGCCTGGTCCTGCCCAGCTCTGCCTGCTGCAGCCCCTGAGCACACCCAGCCCACCCCCACCCCCCCTTGGACCCCTCCTCAGGGACCCCTCCTGACTACCCAGGTCAGGAAACCTTAAACAGAATCCAAATACCTTGAGGGTCCCCAAACTCTAGTGCACATTAGAACTACCCTGGTGCTTTAGTAGACATTGATGCCTGGCCACTATCTCAGAGATCCTGCCTTAAGAGGGTCTGCCTGGAGAGGGTCTGGGATTTTTGCAGGTGGTTCTAGGGCCCCTGAGTTTCAGAACCACTGGCTCATGGAACTTGTCAGTATACAGATTCCTGGGTCCCACTCTGAATGTTCAGCTTCAATTCCTTTAGGCAGGGCTCAGAACCTGTAGTCTGACTTGCAAGCTTTGGTGATTCTTATAGGACTGAGAAACACTGCCTTAGATCATGGGGCAGGGGGAGAGGAAAGAGTGGGGTTCTCAGTGACCCCTTTTCTGCACACCTGACTTCTGTATAATCCAAACTTCCGTGCATCTCCCACCAATGCACATAAACTGTGACCACAGTGCCATCTGGCAGACCTGCAGCACACATCACTTTGTCTCCTCGGGGTGACACATTACTCAAAGAGTGGGTCTTGTGCAATCAAACAAAAATTATGTATTTTGCCCTTGGTGTTTTGTTAAAATGGCTGAAAAATGAAAGAA